ATATATATATGATTAAATTATTATCGTGCGCGTCAATGCACATAGAATTTTTGCAAAATTTATATTAAAGTAAGGATTCGACTAGATACATTGTTTGCGAAAAGATACTTATTATTATCAGATTTAAACTTTCAATTTTTTTCTCTGATATCATTTGAAAAATGAGTAGATTGTACAGATCCAAACAAGATTAAATCAAGCAAAACATAACTCATTAATAGCGAAATAAAACAAAAAATTAATTTCATTATCGATTCTCCCAAAAACATATAACTTTAAAGCAACGAATATTGCTTATTAAAGAAACTATCAAGAAAAATTTTGATAAAATTCAAATTCTGTCAAATTCTGGACCTCATTTTGAGGGATAATACGGTGATTGAGCTTGTTACAAATCTAAATTTTTGTTAATAAAATTCAATTTAAATTTAATTTAAATTCGAAATTTGTATGTTATGCAAGTTTTTTCCGTATATTCGTATGGAAGACAATCTGCTTAAGGAAAATATCAATGATCTCGTGTGAACTATACTCGATTACGAGCCACAAAGTAGACGAAAATAATGTAACGGAGATCGTCGAGCGACAAGGAGGAGACTTGCTTGAGTTATACCGCAACGAGAACGCTCGCGCGGCTTCGCTTTTCCATGGCAGGTGTGTGTGCGTAACTTGTTGCTAAGAGGTCCACGGAAATTCGCACGCGAAACGGTGCGAATCGCCGACGATGAGGATGCGCGCACGGGCGATATGAACGCGGAACCGTCTTTGCACAGCGATCGGTCTTTGAGAAATTCAAATAAAACTTATGGAATGAAAATTAAAGATTGAGAAATTATAGAGCGTGTCGTCAACAGAAAATTTGCAAAAAATCAGAGTAATAATATTGTACGTTACATTAATGATAGTTAACGGTAAATAATAAAAAGATTTTCAGCTGAGATAATTTCTAACTAAGCAAATTTTTCGCAATACCAATTTCTTATTAATAATACGAGAATGTAAACTTGATTAATAAGACTTTCCTGACTTTTACGTAATAAATTATCATAAAATAATTACGCACATGACGTTATCTTTTACCTTCGGGAAAAATTTCTTTAATGCTTGTTTATTAGAATAAAAAAAGATATATATTTTACCTACCGATAATCGTGTTAGGTTTAAGTGTTTACTTCTTTTATAAATTCTTTTTGTAAGCGGAAATTATTTTTTCGAAAAACTTATTCGAAAAACTAATGTATTTCCAATATTAATTTATTAATCGATAATTATAATTTGCATTAAAATATACCAATACGAAGAAATATCTTTTTTGTATAGAAAATAAAAATAAATTGAAATTAAATTGAAATAATGTTCCTTAATGAATAATTTAATAGAATGTAAAAATTAGAAAAAAGATTGGAAATTTAGTAACTCCTGTTCATCTCGTTCAAGATAAAAAAATGTCACATGTAAAATTTTACAAGTAAAATGTTCTCGTAATAAATAATTTATTCGAATTAATAAAAATAATTATAAATGACCAAAGTGTTTGACGATCCTGATGTTTAACCTTGAAGAAGTTCTCTGATATCTTGTAGCATCGGAGGTACGCGAACTTATATCCTCGTACTTTCTCACTTCTTATCTCGTTTCCGTTCGATTACATTGCATCATTATTTGACGCATCCTCTTTAAACAAAGATGCTAATTTTCAATGTGAATATCACAGAATCTTGATTATCCCGCGAAAGGATATAAATCAAGAATTTCAAGTTGTTCAATTTGTTTCATAATAATTTTTAATAAATATATAGTTCTCTTTCTCTCTCACGAAAAAATGTTAGCAAAAGGAAATTTTAGGGAATATTATTGGAATAATAATTTTAAAGTAACTGGTAAAACAATATATGTAAACAAAGAAAAATAATATGCCTTAATAATAAGTTTTAATATTAAATCGTGTACGAAATTTACTAATTTATAAATATGTGAAGACAAAGATCTTTGTGTTAATGCTGAATATAATCGTGTGTAGAACTTGAGAATTCGACAAGTAGAAAACAAATGCGTTGCGCTCGCGGCGTTGATTGTAAAAGTTTGGGAAATTTTAAAATTTGTTTCAATATTAACGCCAATATAATTCGAACCATAAATTCATTTTAAGCACGAGCGTTATCTTAAATCATTTATTATTATTTCCTCTATTGTGTTGTATCGAAGGACATCGATTGTTCGGTTAAATCTTGAATGTAAATAAAGTTCTTGGTAGCTCAGCTATTAGGCACGAAATCAAGGTATTCCACGCTTCGGTACTTTCAAAACTGTTTATTTCAACTAATGTATCTCGTGTCGACTGGTACGTAAGCCACTTATATTGAGAATGATGTAAGTTTAGTTCTGAAACACTATACGAATCTCCATAAAACAATGCGGGTGGAAAAATGCATTCAATCAATTTTCAAAAAGGAAAATTGGATAAATTAGTTTCATATCATTCCTAAGATAATCTGAGAATTCTCATTTTACTGACGAATATAGCAACAGCGTTTCAAATTGCAATACCAAAATATGCTTGATTATGTATTGATTGACGATTATTAACAAAAATTTCATTCGATAAAAAATTTAAAATTGCAGAAATCATTTCTAATTTTCTCTCATTCTTTTTTCGATACTCATCATTATTTCTGACGCTATTTCAGTTGATATTTTGCATTTAGAGCAGATATCGATTTATCATGTGTGATTATGTTTTATGAAAAAATTAATTACACTATTACCAGTTTTTGCGATTCTAAGCTAATTATTGATAATACTATAGATAATTCGATGTTAGAGCAGTTGTCTATTAAGTAAAATTTTTGGATTTGATTTTCAAATAAGCTACTTTGTATATATATAACATTCAGAACTTAAAATATGAAAATATTTTATCTTGATATGAAGTATACAAAGACATTTTAATCTCAAACTAGAGATAAGCCAAGAATTTATTTATTTATCTATTTAATTTCAAACTATAAGAAAAAATAAATTGCGATAGTAAATAGTAAAATGCGATAATAAATTATCTTTTGGAAGACAAAAATCTATAAACAGTTGTTGATAAAAATAAATAATTTTAAAAACAAACTAGAATAGAGATATTGATATAGTCTCTAGAATAAATATTGATTGATAGTTTATAATCTTTCTCATAAAAATTATAATTGTCATAAAATCAATTTCGAATTTTTGGTCCACACGATTATGATGCAATGAAAAAAATTAATTATTATAATTTCTTTAATTCTTAGTACACACCTTAATATACCAATAGGTCTTTTGTATCCTGGATTAATTTCCATCACTTTTACAAATATATAAAAATTAAGTAATTTTTACATATATTTTGACACCTTTAGAAAGTATTTATAAAGTTGTTTTATAATAAATTGTTATAAATAATTATTGTATATAATATTGTTGGATATAAATAAAAAAAAGAAACGTGCAGAACACAAATGACCTAAAAATGTATCAAAAGTTAATATAATTTTTACAAAAATTCTCTTTTTATATAATAATAAATTAATCATCCATATTTATACTCATATTCATATTATTTATGTCATATATTTTATCATTTCTAATTTTGATTTAACCCTTAACTCGTCGTGTGCCCATTGAATTCATATCAAATTTTTCAACGTCTATCAAAGTATTAAATATGTTTTAAATAAGGGTCAATACAATACTAATTTTTTAGTTTTTTATTATTTTTATTATTAGTTTTGAAAAATAAGTAATAAAATGAGAGATTTAAATATAAAAAAGATATAACAAAAATGTTTCCAAGATTAATGATTTCTTGACGTCACTTAAAAATTAATTTGTTGAATAATTCTCGATCCACTATGTACTTTTTTTAACAATGTAAGATATTATTAGCAAAAACATTGGTCGCTTCTTTTAATTTCCTAATTATTTCACAAGTGTAATTATTCATACAGCACACTAATGTTGAATCAACAGAATCTCAGAAATTATGAATGTTGCATCAACTTCGCAAAGTAGATTCAATGTTGAAAAACAACGTTCACACTTCAACATTATAACGTCTTAGCAATTTTCTTCCAATATTCTGTACTGTATGGATTACAGATGTATTAATTGCTGTAAAGCAATAAACATTTTATTCGTCTATATATTTAAAAAATATGAATATTTCTTTTATATATCTTTCATTTTCAAAAGTCTTTAGAATTATGTATAACATTTCGTCGTTTGCATATCGAAGTGGCGATTTGTATGTTTACACAGGAAATGTTTCCTCAACCTTGGAAAAGTAATTACTTCGTAATCTCCAATTGTTCAAAATTCTTTCTTTTATATGAAAAACACCGGAAAAGACTCGGTAATTTATAATACAAATTCGTATTTATTTTAATTAACACTAACTACTCCCGCTCGATTCGCACGGACTTTACTCGAGTATGAAATAAACTCGATGAGTTTCAAGGAGTATATATCGCTTTCGAATGAACGAATCTTCCTCGGCGCGTTCTCCAAACTGCGCATTACTACTACGGATCTATTAATCTTGCATGGACCATACCTGATCCGGGAAGAATACCTGATGGTTCAAAAAAGGAGAATTTCCCAAAGTTCTTCACGTATCCGGTCCCTTCACGGTCTCCGTCGAGTACCAAGGACACAGAGACCGAGAAAGAAAGAGAGTACACCTGGTACGATACCAGATGAGGCACTACCGCACTCGTCACTGTACAACTGCAAGTAGCAGCAGCCAGCGGCCTGCCAGTCGTGCGGGTCCCGATTTTCAGCCGACGCACCTTTTGCGCCCCACCATTTGATCCCCCTCGATGTGGCCGAGCATAGCACTACCCGTCCTCCAACATATGTAACCGGCGTACAAGACTGCGAGTGCCGATTGGCTCGTTCAAATCCAGTATTGTGACGTCAAAGACAAACGGCCGCAGCGTTACGCCGAGACAGACAAGAGAGAGGGCAGAGTGAAGAGAGGAGAGGCAGACAGGAGAGAGAGAGAGAGAGAGAAAAAGAAAGAGAGAGAGCGAGAGAAAGAGAGGACCGGTTCGCCATCCTCATTTTCCCTTGGAACCACGTCTTATACCCTGTCCGTCTACTTACATTTTCTACTGGTCGTCCGTCGTTCATCCGTTCGCTGTTTGTCGGTCCGTCTCGGATCCATTCGGATATTCTACTGCAAGTTTCCCTTCCATCATTCGGTAGATCCGTTCTTAACTGAAGCGACGGAAGTCTCCTTCCTTACTCTTCATTTCTTTCTCCTTTTCCCTCTTTTTCTACGTTGATCTCTCGCGTTTATAATTTCTCGCGCCTGTTCCTTGCCGGTCTCCTTAGTCCCGCTCTTCCCGTCCTTCGCTTTATTCTTGTATCGCGCTCTTTGAGGATAATCGGTCCAATCTTCCTTTTTCTAATTGAACCGCGATCACAAATTCATCGGTGACGAGTGCTGATAGATAGCGACGTCGATGAACGTCCTCGCGGTCGAGCGCCTTTACGAGTCTTCTTGTTCTCGAGCTTGTTCTTTGCGGTGTCTTTGGACACCGTTCACCTTCACGCACGCTATCCTGGCATTATGAACATGGCACTCCTGCAGTTCAATCCGCAAATGTTTAGCTTCTCTAAATTATAAAGATAATTTTCTGTTAGAAAATTTTATTGCGTGTCCCAGAAAGCAAAGAAGAATATTTATGATAAATATTGATTAATTATTCATTTTTCGAAATGTTATATAGATACATATTTTATACATATTTTTAAAGCTTTATTCGAAATATTATTAAACGATAGATTAAATATTTAATGTAATATTTATGATAAGTATAAATAAATATTTGTATTAAGTATTTTTTATTTGAACTATAATATCTTATTAAGTATTTCCATATAACATTTATTACAAGATTTACAATAAATATTTCAATATATTTATAATAAACAATATATTTATGATCTATGCAATCTAAGACTACAAAAATATTTACAAAATATTTAAAATAAGCCTTATAAATATTTTTAAATATTTTGTAAATATTTTATAAATATTGTGTACTGTCTGGAATATAGAATGTATAATTCGTGGTACAACTACAAAAAGGAAATGATTGTTCACTTTTATAATTTAAAGAAACTATAAAAGATTTGCGACTTCGTTTTCACTTTTCAAAACAATCAATTTTGAAAATTCAGACATGCACGAATGAATACAACTTGGCAGTCATGTCATTCCGTTACTGATTTATTTCTGTTTGTGTAAAACTGGACTAGAATCCAGTCATGCTTTTTAAGTTTGTCGAGCGGAAATCTGTACGCAACGGTAGGGAGGAGAATATTTTCATCAATATTTGTACTGAGATAAAAAAATATAATCTGCAAAAATCTATTGTATTATTTAAATCGTATCATTGTCAACGTTTACAAATATTAACACAACCAGTAATGGAATATATGAGACAACAATATGATCAAGTCAAGCTATATTTAATCGTACGCGTATCTCACAAATTTTCAAAATTAATTAATTTTCTTGGAAATAGAACGAAAAAAGTTTATATTGCATTTTTTGTTTGTTTTTACATGAATCATTCCCTTTTTAATTGTATCACTTTTCTATAGATGATACAAATCCTGTTTTAGAGTCTAAAAAAATATTATTTTATTTATGTACCTTCAATACCTTCAATTGATAATATGAATGATCAAATATTTAATTAATTACTTTAATTTCTTATGCAGTTTTAAACAGTATTTAATTTTGGAATAATTTTTCAGGAGTATTTTTTAAAAAGATGGAGCGTATGTTTTTTTTAAATTAATACAGTTAAATTAATATAGTTTTTTACTTTTATTGCATACATTGTTAAATGTGTTAAACTTTTATTTGTAAACTTTTGGAGTCTTATATTACTATATATATTTTTGCTTTATATAATTTTTTTAATGGAATTTCATGTCTTTTTAAGATAAATATATAACAGTGTTAAGTGCAATACACATTGTTTTTACAAAAAAATTATATTTTCTAACATCAATATTTTTACATATAATTTTTATCATATTTACTCTTCAATATATACAATATATTTTTAGCATTTTTCGAATTAACTGTTATTCATGATTTTTTAAAAAATAAATTACATTTAAGATGCTGCGCTAAGTTTCTCAATTTTTCGAATAGAGTCGCAAAGGCTCAATATGTTTGAATCAGAGATCCTCTAATGATAGTTATAAAACCGTATTATTCATATTCTGACAAAATCCTGCGAGTGAGAAAAAATATATGCGATCTGTAATGCAAGAGAGGAAAGAATGTGTGCTATCTCGTTCTGATTAACATAAATGGCCAGAAAATGTTGAAATAAAAGAACCAATCAAAAATAGCCCTCTGTATGATCACTCTTTAATTAGAGGGTTTCTAGTTCGTACGTGAGCGTTGCGAATGTACTATGAGAGTCAAACTCGATCGCTTTACATGTATGCATGAGGAACTTCAAAATTGATTAAACGGTAAAATTATCACTCCGTGGAACAAAGCCTCAAAATTTTGAGATTGATTATATTAATTTTATTGAGATTGATTGCAAATGAAAGTTCGTATTAATATTATCAGAATGAGAGACTTTTAAAATGCATTGGTGCATATTAAAATCATTGTATACTGATTTCATCTGAATATATATAAAATGAATGTGAAATGCAAATATGTCGAAGTATATAATACATATTTTACATAGCAACATAATAAAGTATAGTGAATATTCCGTGGTTTAATCCGTTTCTATATTTATATTAAACACGTTTTTATACCAATTTGTATATGATGGATATTTAATGTGTACCAATGCGCACTGAGTACATTCAATAGAATTCACACACTATTAGATTTTTTTTTATATTCTTTACAGAACATTCCATTTAACAATGTGGTGATTGATCACAGTCACAGCTGTCGGACTAGGGTGTGGCGAACAAGGCATTTGCTTCATATAAAAAATTTGGAGTTTAAAAATTTCCATATTAATTCATTCGCTACTATAACGGTAACAATCATTCATATCGAGCGCTCGATATGTATTAAATGAAAATAAAATATATAGGGATATAAGTTTTGATAAAATAATTAACAATTTTGTGTTTATTAAAGCACAAAATATTACTTCAAATAAAATAATTAATGTTCTGTGTATATATTATACATATACATTCTAATTTTACTGATTTTAGTAAGCAATAATTATTGTACATGTGATTATACATACGTTTCCATTAAATTAATATTAAATATATTAAATATTAGATATATTAAATATTACTAATTAATATTATTTTTCATTGTATTTTACATGCTGTAAAAGAAATTTTTTGTTTAAGGTTTAAATAGTTTTTGCCTCGGGCACCGAAATGTCTCGTCTCGGCTCTGGTCATAGCGACCGGTATCGAAGATTTACATTGGATCCAGAAAGTTCTGTTGAGAATTGGCAACATGGGCAATCAGGTGGGTCTTTCTCTCTCTCTCTTCTTTTTATACGATTTTCAGCCTCTTATTTCCTATTAAATATATAAATTTATTCAATTCTCTTAACATAATAATAACTTAATAATTATGCAATTATTAATTTAATATATCTAACGAACATGTTTTTATTAAAAGCATAAATTTACAAATATATATTATGAATATATTTTTATTTTTTGTATTTATATAAATATAATTTTTCGAATTTTGTATCTTCTGAATTGAGAATAATCTTGAAAATTGTGTACCACTATTTATGCCTCACATTTATGTGATTTTTTTCGTAGAGGAAATGTATTTCGATTGTTTTATCTCCTCGGATTAATAAACCTATATAGATTTCAGTCCGGATCTCAAGTTTATTGTGTTTTTTGCAAATTTTCCTCCATCTATATACTTTTTATATTTTAATCTTTATCTCACATTGCTCTTGTTCTAGTTGATATTTTTAATTATGTATTATGCAGGTGTGGGATTTTATAGATACCGCGATACTTAACTTCAACAGATCCTTAAAAAAAAAAAAAGATTAAAAAAATTATGAGATACTATTTGGATGTAATAACATATTCCAAAATCATCTGATAATCGTATACGTTTTTTCATCTATCATAGCTGTGAGCAATGAAAAAATGAACACTCGCAATTTTGAATTTAAAATTATAAATTATATTTCATACAATATTATTTATATTAATAATTAAAATTCAAAATTATATAGGAGTGATCAATTTTTCAGTTTTTTTATGTTGCAATATTTTATCGTGAATATATTTTACATTGTGTCGTCCAAAATCTTCTCTATATCTGCTCTAACTCCTGAATCGCTAGTAGCGTTTTTCTCTCTTTGTCTGTTTTTCCTCCTCCATCGGCTGATCTTCGCTGTTACTTACTAGTCCTTGATGTCTTGTCTTGCGCATCTTCCTCTTCTTCGGCTCGAACTTTCACAATTTTTTTATATTAACCGATTCTTCTCCTCGATCTATCGCTCGTCCATCGATAATCAACGATTTACCTCCTGATCGTCTTTTTTATCTCTCATTCCCATTATTTCTCCTTCTGCCGTTTGTCTCTTTTGGTTTTCTTGACTCTAGTCGTTTACACCCTCATCACCCCGTTTTAACCCAATCTCCCCTTGTATTCTTTTCTCTTCTTTACGGCGGTTGCTCTAAGTTTTTCTCTCCTTCTAACACGTCGCCCGTGTCCATTTCTGT